CGACCTCCAAAATTCCCATGGCCAACACATGGTGTTGGGTGCGCCTTTGTAACCATACCACTCTAAGTAAGTTTACTTACCCTTAAGGTCGGATAGCAGACGTCCGCACCTCGCATCATGATTCATGATCCGTGAACAGCCGTCTCCGGAAATGTTATCGTCCCGGCTCCATATATATATATATCATCGTCCCGGCTCAATCACTTTCTACCGTTTCCAAAAAACAAAAACATGCCGTAGCCACGCGCAGGCGAGGGTGAAAAGAAGCTCCAAGGAAAAAAGAAAATCACTCCCCCTGGTCATGGGTCTCAGGGGAATCGAACCCCGACCGAGTACTTGTCATTTCTTGGTACGCCAATTCCTAATGCATGGTGCTCGGCGCGCCTAAAGACCCGTACAAATGACACTTCTGGTTGAGTATATATAACAGATATCCGATTCTAGTCTTGTGTCAGTAAAAGTCTTGTGTCAGTAAACAGCATCCACAAGCCGGCTTTTTTTATAAAAAAAACATCTCAGCCAAGGAGGCCTCTTCACTCCAAGATAAACGACTTACGACCAGCCTGATCATGAGCTATGACCAGAAGTCGACTCGGAAAATAGAAAAAGCGACTCGGGAAATAGAAAATACCCAAGAAACCGAGTAAATACCGAGTACCGAGTATTTCCGCGCGCACTATCGTACTCAGTAAATACCGAGTACCGAGTACCGAGTGAATACCGAGTACCGAGTATAATATTGAGGAAACAATAAGTAGTTGCGCAAGGAGGGAAAAAAACGAGCAGGCCTAGGCCTAGGGATCGAATAACACCGAATGCGAATGCGCGGGGACTCACTCAAGGTTACGCAAGGCATTACGCCATTTTCGTTCGCTTGTCCCGGCATTTTCGTTCGCCGGGACAAGCGCGGCAGGCTGAGAAACCAAAAAAAAAACCACAACCTTGCCACAAACACACAAGCCAATCAGCCGATCGATAGCAGAAAGAAACGATTTCGCCCCGGCCCCCGGGCTCGAGCTTCCTTCCTACCTTCCTGATTTGTCGCCCTGCACGAGCCAGTCAAAATCCTCCCGAAAGTAAGTATCCATACTTACGTGAGTACGCATGGGAACGAGGATGCGAACGAGTGTGCGAACGAGGAAGGATTGGATGTGAACGAGGATGTGAACGAGTGTGCGAACGAGGTTGGGTGAGTGGGTGGGATATGAGACCTCCGAAGCCCGATCACACGCCGTCAAATTCGAAAGCCACCCCCCGACGCAGACCGAACGCCACTCGACCTCCTCGTTGTGGCTTAGTCGCACTCGGTGATGGGGAGTCTATCCGTGCTGGGGATGAGGAGTCTACCCCGGATCCGTGCTACCAACACGCACGCACGCACACATGCATAGAATACAGGATACAAAGAGGGAACGAATTCGAAGGGTACATACGGGTAGATGAGAGCGGGATCGACTTGGGTGGAAGGCAAGTGGATGTAAGTAGATGTATGAGATCTGTAAGTCAGGGCGTAGGTAGGTGGGTGTGAAGGATGCGTAAGTCGAGTGCGGAGAGAAACTGTTAGAAAGCCGACGAGCAGCTAACGTGTAGGGTGTAGGGAAATGTACGTGATAGATAGCGGGGTGGGTCGGTGGGTAGATGGTGGTGGGTAGATCGTCGGCATCGTCTGTGTGGAAGTGCATGGGATGGAACTCATTCATTCGTTCGTTGGTCGGACCGTTGGGCATAGTCGATGGGTCTCGTCCGTCAAATCGAACCGGGCGAGGAACGCCCATGGAGCAACTTCGCACAGCGAGTCCGTGCACGTCGATGACCCGACTTGGCACAGCGCCGACGAAACGCCCGTGCACGTCGACGTTGTGAGGCGCCAGGCGCTCAATGCGCCATCCCCGCCGCGCCGACGTACCGCCCGAAGAGCATCTCGCCGACGCCGAGGCCGAGCACGATGGCGAGGATGAACGCGGCTTGGAATGTCCTGGGGGTGGAGGGGCGGTTAGTACGGGTGGGATATGGGGAGGAAGGGAGGAAGTGCGAGAAGATGGACGGATGGGTGAAAGCGGGGAAATTGGAGCGAGGATGGACATGAACGGAATCAACGAAGGCAAAGGAGAGAAAGGAAAGACAGAGAAACCACGCACATAACCGCCAACATGAACGCAAACCCCAACGTCGCCTGCAGCGCATGCATCACCCCCCGCATAACATCATGCGCCGGCACGAACGGGGGCGCCCTTATTCCAAACTTCCGCTTCTCCCTCTTCTTCCCCGCCGTATCCACACCCCCACCCTTCTCCCCCACAGTCCCCTTCTCCCCGTACACCTTCTCCTTCTCCTCCAACCGCCTCACCCGCTCCCCCTCCCCCCGCCAATGCACCTCCATCATCGCCCGCACCGCCGCCACCCACCGATCCACCAGCGCCAGCACGAACAAGCCTACACACGCGCCCGCCACGGCGCCCGCGCTCTGCGGCACCCAGCCCGCGAACCACAGCGTGTCGCCGGGGCGCGAGAAGTGCAGGTAGGGCGTCATGCTGCCCATGGCGAGCGTCATGCCGTCGTCCATGGTCATGTCCATGCCGTTTTCGGCGGCATATGCCGGGAGCAGGAGAGGGAGGGGAGAGAGGAGGAGGAGGAAGAGGGGGAGGAGGGAAGGCGAGGGTGGGAGGAGGGACATCGTTGTCGTCGTTGGAGGCAAGTCAGTTGTCGTCGTGGTCGAGTGGTGAGAGCGACGGATAATGGAAGAGCGACGGAGCGGAAAGCGTGACAACGAGTGATCGGGAGCTGGGGTTAGGGGTAGTACGTCCGGATTCGGATTCGGATTACTTGCGAAAATATAATCAACGCTTCGTGGATTGAGCGTCGAGCGAGCCTCGTTTCACTCGCACCGCATGTCGTCACATGTGGCCAATGCCAATGGGACCCCGTCATTCCCCGAGTCAGCCGCGGCCGTCAGGCTGAGGATAAAAATATAATAGCGGGCGGCCACCCGTGGGCCGTCCGCAAACCCGTCTCCACGCTGCGCATGGGCACCATAGCTTGACCCAGTTCTACGATCTCGGCGGGCCGCGGCGTCCCGGAGTTGAGAATTCTTTTCCTTCGCCTTTCTTTCTTTATTATTTTGATTGGGCGAGATGCTCATTATTTTGATTCGGCCAGATGTCCATTATTTCGATCAGGCCAGATGTACCATGCGAATGGACTCGGACCGCCGTACGTCCGGAGAGCGACATACATGGATGTGGGGAGAAGTGGAGGGCCGACGGGGTGGTATTTTTGGCCATGGGCTGCCGATGCCGATGCCGATGCCGATGCCGGCGGCGCGGGTGGGTGGGTGGGTGGGTAAAGGGACGCTTGCGGCGTGGCGCACGAAGGGGAAAGCAAAGCACGTAGGGAAATGGTGGAGTGTCGGTCGGTTGAAGAGAACCTCAAGCAAGGCATCGGATGACGCCGAGGATCTGCAACCAAAAAACCAGAACGAGGTCGAGGTCGAGGTCGTCCAGATAATTGATCATGCCGCATGCGGTGGACGGAACTTGAGGGATTCAGCCAGCGGCCAGAGAGCGGTCCGCACGAACTTGAAGAGTGCAGGCAGTACCATGAACTTGAAGAGTGCAGGCAGTACCATGAACTTGAAGAGTGCAGGCAGTACCAATCATGAAGTCTTGCAGCGACGATTCGTTCGAGAGAGAAAAGTCCGGTTTGTGAGGACCGCAGCGTCCGCCCCAGCAGGTCGTCGGTGCGCAGCACACCAGCGGTGCGTTCATCCATCCTTGAAGAGATACCGCCAAAGCCCTCGAAAAATCCCCCGTGTCGCCCAGCCCAGCCCAGCCCAGCCTACACAGATTGCACTCCATCCTAGCTAACGTGCCCACTGCCAAAATGAGCTCACGAGTGACAGTCCAGTAGCCGTCAGCAACCTTGCGCGGCGCAGCGCGGACAGAGGTGAACTTGAAGAGGATATGAAGTTGAAGAGGATATGAAGAAACAACAGGCAGAGGGAACTTGAGGCAGAGGAGGGAGGAGGGAGGAGGGAGGAAGGAAGGAAGACAGTGGGTGGGCGCAAGGGAGAGGAGGCCAGCGAAGACGTGCAGTGATCCCTCGAGGCTTTTGTGCGAGGTAGCCCCGTTTGGAGGTGGCGGTGCCGCGGCGACCAGAGTACTTACTAATGGGTTGCCGCGAGCGCCGAGAACTTGGAGGTGCCGCCGATTGGCTGTGGGTGACAGCGTGCACCGTGCACCGTGCGGAGGTGTTCTTTCCATGTTCAGAACGCTCCGCGCCGGTCTGAGACTCTCAGAGAGATTCACCACGGAGCCCGTTGGAGGCCGAGATGAATTCAACTTCCGAAAAGGAATTCAAGTTTTCATTGTTCAAGATTTATCTGAAACCAATCCAATCCAAAACATCGTTTCAACCGCTGATTCACGCCGGGACTCCATCCGCGTCGCGGCGCCATATTCCCGTCCCATAGAGTCGAGTCGTCCCCTTAAATCAAATCGGCGCGTCGACGGTCGAATCGGCGCGGGATTCAATACGCCGGACCGAGGTCACGGTCCTGTACATGTCTTAAAATTACCGCGCCAACCTCGCACCTCCATCGACATTCAGATCCAATTAGTCGTCCAACCAACCTTTCGAATTCGCCGGGCCGCTTCATCCTTCCATCCAGCTAAGCAGCTAAGCTTCGGATTGATTCAATTTCACGGGCCGCTTTCATGCCCATGGCGTATTGGAATGACAACTGCTCGTACGGTACATAGTAGTCGTACGTAGTAGTCGTACGGTAGACTAATTTGGCTGGTGGGTAAGCTAGCTAAATTCAGGCTTAGGATGTTCTCACTTACCCCTGACATATTCAAAGAATACTTAGCCGTTGTTATAGTGGTTTCATTTACAGTACTCCAAAATGGGATGATCTCAAACGGAACTGAACCGGATGGGTTTTACTACTACTACTACCGTTTTAGAGAAATAAAAAAAGGGACGGGCATCATCTAACATCATTCGGACGCTGGGAATCGAACCCAGGCTTCCCACTTGTATACACAACGTGTCGAGAAGACAAAGTGGGCGTGCACCATACACCACGTCCGAGGTGATTTACCTGTTCTGTAGTTAGCTGAGTATACAAGTTTTCTTGAGGGACAATCTAAACTGTCCATTAAGGGGGGAAAAACAGATGACCATACTATTCTGATGCTGGGAGGAGTACTCCATGTGACTGTACAAGTAACCTTTCCGGCGGCTTGAATCTTCCTTTCACCTAACTTGAAATTTCGGATTGATTCATGGCCGCGTTCTGTGCTCATGCCGGTCTGCATGCCCAGCAGCTCCGCTATTTATTGAGATAACAACGGCACGTACGGTAGACCGATTTGGCCGGTGTGTAAGCTGAATTCAAGCTAGAGGGTTCCCACTAAATCCTCATCCCCGATACTTTCACAAATATAATAGATGCGGAATTTATGTAGTCCGGAATATTACTTACTGGGATGGTTCAAAGCTGAACCGGATGCGCGTGGGTTCACGACAATATGTACGGGGAACAAAAGATAACGAAGAGGATGGCGAAATTCGGATGCTGGGAGTCGAACCCAGGCTTCCCAGTTGCAATTTGTATCCTGTATCCATCCTTAATGCAGAATGGGTGTGCACCATACACCACATCCGAAATATTTTACCTGTTTTGTAGTTGGTTGAGTTACAGTAATTTCCATTGCAGGATAAAATTGAGAAGCACCCCGAATTATGCGGACGTTGGGAATCAAGCCCAGGCTTCCCACTCGCAGTTGTGTTGCAGATCGATAGACAGTGGGCGTGGACCATACACCATGTCCGAGGCGGTTGACCGGTTCCTTAGCTGGCTGTGTCCACCAACATGGGTTTTTGGGCGGGACATTCAAAACTGTTGGACAGGGAGAAAAAGATAGACCACCGGGTCATTCGGACGCCGGGAATTGAACCCAGACTTCCCACTTGCACTCCAGAGCTTAACAAATTAAATAGAGGTGGGTGTGCACCACACACCACATCCGGGGTAATTTAACTGTTGGCCGAGTAGTAAGTACAGAAGTTTGTTTCAGGGATATACACAAATGTCATTGAGGGAGAAAAATGCGAAACGACCATGCTATTCGAATACTGGGAATTGAACCCAGACTTCCCACTTGCAATTTGTATCTTGTATCGGTCCTGGATGCAGAATGGGTGTGCACCATACACCACGTCCGAACTACTTGATCTGTTCTGTAGCTGGCTGATTGAACAACTTTTTACGCAGCTGTGGTTGAGTTGAGGTCCTGTTGGGATGTTTGATGTCGGGGAAGGATATCAGGACTCGTGAGTGATTGAACCGACCGAGCAATGGCATGAACTGTGTGTATGACGAGTTTCCGAATGAATTCACTAGCGAGCACGAACCTGGAAAAATTTCGGCGCAGGGAAAAAGAAAAAACCGAAGGGAATATGATATTCAGATGCTGGGAATCGAGCCCAGGCTTCTCACTTCCATTTCAATTTTTCTACTATTAGACAGAGTGGGCGTGCACCATACACCACAGCCGACGTAATTTGCCATTGCATCAGGAAAAGGCCCCCCAGATAATTTGACCTAATTTGAGATAATTTATCTCAAATTATCATCAATATGCAACTTAGCTCAAATTAGTTCAAATAATCTTCTCGGCCAGTTTACGCATTCATATATGTTCAAAGTTTGAGCTAATATGAGCTGATCTGAAGGAGACTTTCTGGTCTCATCTGGTGATTTCAATTCATATTAGACAACACAAGTTAAGGCGGAAAATTCAATTATATTGATATACCAGTCTACGAAATGACAAATGATGGCTACATATACATAATTACGAAAGTACCGAGATGTGCAAAGAGGCTGGACGACGTCATCAGTAAGCCAATTGTGGCCTGACCGCGAGGGACCCGACAGCAAAGATTTCGATGATGAAAAGTTGGGGATGTTGAGGAGTTGGGGTTTGAAGTGCATTGTAGTTGAAGAGATTTGAAAAATGCTGTATGTTGGTGACGTTGCTGACTTGGAAAGCTTCTTGATCATGAGAATGGGGGCTGGCCGGGACCTAGATAGGGGTGGATGTACAAAGAGGATATTCCGGGCAAGGAGTAGAGGCGGGCAGTGGGATTGAAGGGTGGAAAGTGGGAGAAGATGGGGGGAAGAAGGAAAAGGGACAGAATGGTACGATGTCGTACGACATCTTTTATATTGGCGTTGCTTGACAACGGTGCCGGCACCTGTTGGCATCATCGGAGTTTGAAAGACTTAAGAAGAAATCATTCCTTCCGTGGTGCTGGAGTATGTAGAAAATATTACAACTCCAAAAGTATCCCTTCCGCAGCACTGTCGGGTCCCATATAGGTACATACAGCGGTTTGGAGCATGGTTTCGGGTTTCCCATCTGATATTATCAAAGGTTGATCAAACATTGCTGTAATGTTCCACAAATTATCGCAAATTATGGCAGATTATCGCCGATATGCTCAAATTATATGTGGACAAACTAACTTGAACTAAATTATCGCAAATATGTCAGGGAGGTTTTTCCTGATGTGCCTGGGTGGCCGAGTCCCCGAATCTTCTGGGCAGGACGTTTAAAACTGTCGGCCCAGGGAGAAAAAGACAAGGTCATTCGGACGCTGGGAATCGAACCCAGGCTGCCCACGTTTAATTTGGTCCACCGGTATAGAAGTCAGAGCGGGCGTGCACCATACACCACATCTGAGGCAATCTGTTTGTTCTGTAGTTGGCTAATTGCACGAGTTTTACGGTAGATCTACATAAATGTCGTCAATGGATAAAAAAAAGAATGACCCAATTCATCAAGTTGTGGGGCTAGCTGCCGAGGGATAAAAACATCTATGACCGAGTCATACAGACGCTGGGAATCGAACCCAGGCTGCCCTCTTGCAATCCCATTTGGAGTAAAACAGGGTGGGAATGTACTATACACCACATCCGACACAATCTACCTCTTCCTGAGTGGGCTGAGTGAACGACTTTTTAAGCAGCTGTGGTTACGTTGATGCGCATACGGCGCGTCTGAGAGCGCGAGCTGGATATAAAAATACCAAACTCAACACTGCTCCAGCGACGACCGTGATACTGTATGTGTGCGAGTGGGTCAAACCATGTTCAGTACTCGACTGGCTGTGAATGGCGGCGGCAAAGGCGGGAATGCGGGGAGGATATGTGGCGTTGGCGGGACGGTGAGCGGCGGCGGGGAGTACGAGGACATATAGAAATATGAGAGCGACGATGTGAACGACGAGGGACGCGACGAGGACCGACATGAGCAACGACGAAGGCTCAATGCAACGGCATACGGAAATCTGATGGGAACTGGGGATACAATTCGATTGTGTGGAATAGGTACAAAAGATGGAGTATATATACTGGAAACAAAGTCAGGAGAAATGTCTAGAATAATCTCGAGGCTGTGCGACGTGCGAGCGTATCGGAGGTGAACACGACCCGGGACAAGAAAGCTGTACAAAAGAACTAACTTGATATGGTCCTGAAATGTACACGAGGATGTCGGACGGCAAGAGATGGGGAAATGGTTCAGTAAGCGACGCGGGAATCGGAGTGGATCCACGGAAAACGCGTGAATTGAGCGTGTTGCGGAAGGTTCTGGAAGTAGGCGCGTGTGGTCGTGTTTGGTGCGGAACTGATCGGACCGGATCGGCGGATTACGCGAGCAGCGAGGAGTGAAGCTCATCAACGTTGAGGTGATTTTATTCTGCCTTGTTGGGACAGTGTTTGAAGTCGGGGCTTGATGCCATGACTCACAAGTGATTGAACCCACCATGCAATGGCGTGAACTGTTTGTATGAAGAGTGACCGAATGAATGCACTCGCGAGTACGAACATCTGAGAAACATGTCGGCGCAGGGAGCAAAAAAATAGCCAAGACAACGAAGTCGGACGCTGGGGATCGAACCCAGGTTTCCCGCTTGCACTTTAATTGTTTTACCAAACTAAACACGGTGGAGATACACCATACACCACGTCCGAACTACTTGATCTGTTCTGTAGCTGAGGACATGAGTTTTTTCCAGGGGTGTGAAAAACTATCGTCGACGGAAAAATGGGAGCATCGACTTATTCGGACGCTGGGAATCGAACCCAGGCTTCTCACTTGCAATCTGCCGGATCTAGAGCAAGACAAAGTGGGTGTGCACCATACACCACATCCGAGGTAATTTAACTGTTCAGTAGTTGGCCGAGTACAGGAGTTTGTTTCAGGGACATACACAAATGTCATTGAGGGAGAAAAATGCGAAACGACCATGCTATTCGGATACTGGGAATCGAACCAAGACTTTCCACTTGCAATTTATTGCGTGATTTGCTACAAGACACAGTGGGTGTGCACCATGCACCACGTCCGAGATAACTTGGCTCTTCTGCAGCTGGCTGAGTGAACGACTTTTTACGCAGCTGTGGTTGAGTTGAGGTCCTTGTTGGGATGTTTAATGTCGGGGAAGGATATCCGGACTCATGAGTGATTGAACCGACCCAGCAATGGCATGAACTGTTTGTATGACGGAGTTCCGAATGAATGCACTCGCGAGCACGAACCTGGAAAAAAAATTCAGCGCAGGGAAAAAGAAAAAACCGAAGGGAATACGGTATTCAGATGGCTGGGAATCGAACCCAGGCTTCTCACTTCCAATGTGAAATTTGATGGGGAACAAGACAAAGTGGGCCCGCACCATACATCACAGCCGACGTAATTTGGCATTTCCTATGTGGCCGAGTCCCCGAATATTTTGAGCAGGACGTTCAAAACTGTCGGCCCAGGGAGAAAAAGACAAATTACAGAATCATTCCGACGCTGGGAATTGAACCCAGGCTTCCCACGTGTAATCAGGTCCACCGGTATAGAAGTCAGAGCGGGCGTGCACCATACACCACATCTGAGGCGATTTACCTCAGGCTGTTCCTTAGCTAGTTGAGTACACAAGTCTTAGGGCTGCGTAGCTCTACAAAAATGTGGAGAAAAAGGCCGACCATCGTAGTATTCGGAGGTTGGGAATCGAACCCAGTCTTCCCACTTGCAATCTCATTCAGGATAAGACATAGTGGGTGTGCACCAATTTTTATCTAAATTTTAAGGGATTTTTCTGAGTCTGTCACAGTACATGCTAATGAATTATGCTAACATGCTGCAGCTGTTTGTACTGCCCTCCTGCCTCAATTGCCATGTCTCAACTCGAATATCACTGGCTTCCCTGCCTTTGATTTATAGCTTATAATGTCTCCGTTTGGCTTCGTCTGGGTGGAATCGAGTGGCCGCAAAGCGACAGGAATCCAACATATCCGTCGCCGACTATTCCCCTCACAGAGCCAACCCCTCTCCACAGTATAAACTGGAGGGATTTCTTGCATATTGGAATATGACGCTTTGATCAGCGGATGAGATGACAGGGCTATAATTCCTCCGTTCCTATCCATCCGTTCTAGTAAGGCGCCACTTTCAACATCCCATAATGCGATTGTCTCATCATAGGATCCGGTGACCAGGCGGGCGCCATCACGCGAAAAAGCGACATAGGGAACGTCTACCTCGTGTGTTCTGAGGAGTCTGATATCCCCGCCAGTCTGGACGTCCCAGAGACGAACTGTTCCGTTAACGA